GGGGGGGGTACCAGGGATTGAACTCGGGCACTCATCCACTGAGCCACATCCCTAGCCCTAGTTTATATTTTATTTAGAGACAGGGTCTTGCTGAGTTGCTTAGCACTTGCTACTGCTGAGGCTGGCTTTGAATTCACCATCCTCCTGCCTCAGCTTCCCAAGCTGCTGGGATTACAGGCATGTGCTACTATGCCCAGTGAGAAATTTGAAAACTTTTAAATATATATAACATTTGTTAAATTATCCTAGATAATAATAAGTACTTATTTATTATTAGGAAATTTGAAAAACACAGAGATGCACAAAGGAAAAACAATGTAATCGCACTAATGTAACTACATTTTAAAATGTAATACATTTTAGAAATAAACACCTCATAGTGTTTTTGTCCCGTATGCTTTACAGTTGTAATCATCCTGCAGATTTTGTGCTCTAATCTGCTATTTTCAGAAACTAGCACAATAAAACTTTTTTTCTGGTACAGTGATTGAATCCAGGAGTGCTTAACCACTGAGCCACATCCCCAGGGCTTTTGATTTTTTATTTTGAGACAGGGTCTCACCAGTTGCTTAGGGCCTTGCTAAATTTCTGAGACTGGCTTTGAACTTGCAATCTTCCTGCCTCAGCCCGCTGAGCCACTGGGATCACAGGCATGTACCACCATGCCTGGTTAACATTAAATATTTTTGTAGGATAACTTTTAATGTCTTCATGATATTTCACAATATTTTACTTAGTCAGTCTCCCCATTAGACCTAAGTTCTTCCCAAATTTTGACTATCATTTTTTTTTATAAAATGAACAGTAAACTGCAATTATCCCTCTATATCCATGAGGTATTGATTTCAGGAACCCCTATTGGTACCAAACCTATGTGCTCAAGTTCTTTATGTAAAATTTGCATGAAACCTGTGCACATCCTCCCCTATACTTTAAGTCATCTCTAGGTTATTTACAATATCTACTACAATGTAAGTGCTATACAAATAGTTGTTAAACTGTATTTAGGGAATGCTAACAGTCTGTACATATTCAGTGTAGACAATTTTTTTTTCCAAAATATTTTCCAACCTCAGCTGGTTGAATCTGTGGCTGGTATAGATGGCGACTATATTATGGCTAAGCATTACCAGACTTCACTGTAAATTCATAGGTGTGGCCTCACTACCCCATACACATTGTGTTGCTGGGAGGTATTGGGGCTGGAGACAATCAGGGAGACCAGGCCAGTGTCTTAGAAAGCAGCTCTCCAGGTTCAGGGATGACTCCTTCTCCTCTAAATGGTCCAAAGAGGTCCACAGAGAAGTTATCTTGAAATTCACCTGTGCATGATATTTCTGTGAGTCCTTCCTACAGTGAATGTGCCAGGATCTGGTAATCAGCAGCAAACATGCCTATCAACCGACAGATGTTGGCACTGGCAGGTGACAGGTAGCAGGGATTGTAACAGTCACCTACATTTCCATGCTTTTATTTACATAATTTTTTTGAAATTAGAATTTTGCTCTGTGTGTTGTTGAAACACAATACCTTCTTGATTTAATGCTTTGCATTGAGTTTGAAAAATTGTGTTTACTTTTGAATATATAATTGCTTAAATAGTATGAAAAGGACTGAGTGTAAATAAAAACTCTGAGAGGAACTCTGTAAGCACTCTGGCAGAAATGCTAATATTAATTAGAGAAAAGATAAACATGAAAATCAAATGAACCTCTACAGTGCTACAGACGGACATAGAACACAGGAGAACTACTGGAAATGAGTACAATGCCCAGGACTGATGAAGGGGAATTACTGGACGTGAATCAACAAATTGACAGTGGCTGAAACATATCTAAAAATATGTTATCCACCTGGGAGCCCCACATGGCCTCTGCTGCTTTCCTTACATCTCTCCCACCTTCTTCTGTCTGACCAAACACACCTTTCAAAGTCAAAATAATAAGACAGTTTCTTATGCTTCTCATCTTTTCTCTTTTTGGTACCAGAGATTGAACCCAGGGGCACTCAACCACTGAGCCACATCCCCAACCCTTTTTATGTTTTATTTTGAGACTAGGTCTCGCTAAGTTGCTAAGGCTGCCTTTGAACTTGTGATCCTCCTGCCTCAGCCTCCCCAGGCATTGGGATTGTAGTGGGCACCACCATGCCTGCGGGCCTCTTATCTTTTCAGTTTCCATGAACAAATCACAGGAGCAGTCTTTTGTTTCTGACCATTGGGCCCATTCGTTCCCATTTGTTCTTTTCTGAGAAGAGCAACATTTTCATTTGGATTAACTAAGAAATATGTGAATAAATGTATAAAATGCCCCAGTGTTAGTAGTACAGTCTGCCCAAACCCTTTGATGAAAGATAGCTAGAATTCCTGACTTCCAGTTATTGAACTTACTAGTATCTGTTGTGTTTTCATAAATATTTTGACAAAAACATGAACTAGGAGTCACTGTCATCCGCATAACCTGGAAACCTGAGATTCTTTTTTTATGGTTCTGGGGATTGAACCCAGGGCCTTTTGCATATTAGGCAAGCACTCTACCACTGAGATAACATCCCATCAGGAGATTCAGTTTTTTGTTTTGTTTTATTTTAAGTTGTTATTTTTTTAAGGTGGACACAATATCTTTATAATACATTTACATGGTGCTGAGGATCGAACCCAGTGCAAGGCAAGCACTCTACCACTGAGCCACAACCCAGCCCTGAGATTCACTTTTTTAATTTTCATGTTTTTAAAATTTTATTTTGAATTTTGAACTGTATCCATATTAGAGTTCTAAACACTGTAATGATTGTTTAACTATTATCAATAAGTACCTTTGTAGCAGTGCCTTCTATGAGGCAGGTACATTCCTAAACAGACATTTTTCCTGTATCATCACTGATTTTCACAGTGACCCCTCGAGACATAAGGATTCATACATTACACATTAAGAGGTTCAGGGCTGGGGCTGGGGTTCAGCGGTAGAGCATTTGCCTGGCATGTGCAAGGCCCTGGGCTCGAACCTCAGCATCATAAATAAATAAATAATTCGTTGACAGCCAACAACACAAAAGAAACAGAGGTTCAGAGAGGGTGGGTGACCTGCTCATAGCTAAAAACAGTGTGGCCGTGCTTGCCTGTAGGTCAGTCTGCCTCAGAAGCCACTTACCTGTCACCTGGTATGGGGAAAACTGAGTGAGAACAGACAAGTGTGGGAAACAAAACCCAAACTCTTCTGTCCTGGGTAACTAGACCCTTGAGACAGACTAGCGTTTTCCTATGGCTTTCCCAACTTTTCATCAGCATGCGGTCATTTCTAAATGTTAAATTCACTATTTCAGACTCGCTCCCCTCCTCCTGCCCCTTTGATCTTCCAGGCCCTCAGTACCGCCTGGAGAAGCAGAGTGAGCCCAACGTCGCCGTTGACCTGGAGAGCACGTTGGAGAGCCAGAGTGCGTGGGAGTTCTGCCTGGTCCGCGAGAACAGTACGTTGGCTGTCTCCCTCTGTGCCCACTTTGTCTGTTGCAAACATGCTTAGAAATCATGGGTTTGAACACTCGCTGGCCTGGCTTCCCTAGGCAGATTGAAAGTGGCTGTTTCCCAAGGCAGACTGCAGCCTCTGTGCCAGAAGTGTATCCCAGAGTGAAATAATAGATTCCGTGCTGTTGGCTAGAGTCCACATCCTGTTTAGCAGCCCGTGATTCATATTTGTCTGTTGAACTGTGTCTTCCTCGGTTAGGAGCAGCCTTGAAGACAGTTTAGAAATAGGAGGCCCTTTCTGAGGCAAAGGCAGTTTTGTATGTAAAACAGCTGGGCCTGTATCGCTGTTCAGACATCAAGTTCACACAATTTTAGCCTTTTGAATACTTAGCAGAAGGCAGTGTTGAGATTCCTAGAGCCATGTTGAGCACTTCTCTAACACTTCAGTTAATTCCTTTCCTTCTCTCTTCAGAGCTTCTGGGTTGTGAATTTTTCCTATCCCTCTTCACTGTACTCCCACGGACACAGAGGATAAGTGATGTGTGACAACAGATTGTCCATGGTCACTCCTGCCCAAGGGATTTCACAAGGGCTGTTTCTTCCTCCTGAGAAACTCTTTCTGCCATTCTGGTTTCTCATCCTTCACCTCAGTTTAAATGTCACATCTTCAGAGAGGCCTCCATGACCTCCCTTTCTCCCATCACCTAAGCCTGACCCACCCCTCGTTTGGCTCTTCCATTATACTCTCAGAGGCCATACTACTTTTTATTCATTGCATTTCTATTTACAATTATATGTATATTTATTTATATACACATTTATTATAAATAGATATATAATTATAAATATTTATAAGTGTGTGTATATAAATAAATATTTCTATTTATAATTATATGTATATTTGTTTACACACATGCTTATTTATTTTTCTCAGTCATTGTCTGTCTCTCCCACTAGACTGTCAGGTCTGTAAAGATGTTATAGCATCTTGTCTTTCATTAATTCACTAGCCCACTAAAGACCGTGTGCTGGAGGAGCTCAGTAAATATAGACTGAAGAGTGAATGAGTCGTCGGTCTGTAGTCACACCACTGACCCTCTAAACCAGACCAGACTGCTGCTTTTCGACCAGGATTTCTGACACCTTTTTCTGGAGCCGCATGCACACAATTCACTGAGAGTGTGAAATGTGCTCTTGGCATTCAGCAGCAAAGTCTCAAAGCTTGGTGTCCGCACAGTCTGCAAAAATTGTATGTAAATACACAGCAGTAAAAATCACTGGTTCCCAAGTGATCCAAAAATGTTCACATAAATAATAAACATTTGTTAAATTGTTCTTCCCTATCAACAACCTAATATGTAAACATCTTAAAGCAAAATGTAGTGCTTGTTACCTACCCCATAAGCCAGAACTTTCAAGCAGAAACCTGGTGGTGGAAAAGCACAGGGAGAGAGACCCCCAACACTGGCAGCAGGAGTGTAAGGAGTGCGCTGCAGCTGGCGCACCAAGCAGCATCAGAGTGCTTTCCCCAGTGTTTCTTTTTGGAAATCTGTCTTGAGAGTATCTGTAAAATGCAACAGATATTTATATATAATACTTTTCAATGTTATTTCTAGTATCTGACATTAGAAGAGTAGTCGGATAATTAGTGGTGTACTCCTACGTTGGAGAATCATGCAGGGTTTCATATGGGATATGCTCTGGGATCACAGTGAAATGAAGCTGAAACCAAGAAAAATACAACTAGATGTTTGAGAGTGTTTGTGTATATTTGGAAATTGAGACATAAGCTTCTCTGAACCTGTAGCTTAAAAAAGAAGTAACAGAAATTTGAAACTATTTTGGTGGGGAGATAATGAAAATTCTACATTTTAAAATTTGGGGTTATGGCTAAAGCAGCACTTTAAGGAAATTTTACAGTCTTCAAATTTATGTTACCAAAGAAAAACTGAAAAGTAATGAGCTAATAAACATTCAACTCAAAAAATTAAAAGGAAATCTAAATAAAAGGAAGGAAGCAATAAAGATAAGAGCAGAAATTAATGAAATAGCAAATTCTGAAACATCAAAAGGAATTTGGTTCTTTGAAAAGACTGGTAAAATTAGCAAAGCTCTAATGACATGGATCAAAAATGTGGAAGAAAAATAACAAGAGAGACAAGGAACAGGAAAGGAATGGAGACACACTACAGATTCTGTAGTCAGTATGCCAACAACACGAGATTATCTTGAAAACTTCATTCCAAAACTTTGGAAAACGTAGATGAATAAATTCCTGGGAAAAGACAACTTACCCAAAAAGACAAAAATAAATAGAAAACCTGCATGCTGAGATTCAGTTTTGAAAAATGGAATTAGTGATTCAAAACCTTCCCACTTAAAAAAAAAAAAATCCAAGGACGATGACTTTACTGGCTAGTTCTACCCAATACCTAAGGAATGAATAACTACAGTCAGTTGTTCCAGAGTCTAGAAAAACAGATTACCCTCTCCAGTTCATCTGAAAAGGCTATCTTAAATTGTGGTTCCAAACCCTTGTAAAGACCATATAAGACAGGAAATTTTAAGGCCAATCTTAAAATATAGCTGTAAAATTCCTAAACAAAATGTTAAAAAACTGACTCCAGCATTTATTAAAAGAGTTATATGTTCCCAAGTTGATTTTATATATATATATTTTACTTGTTGATAGACCTTTGTCTTTTTTATTTATTTATGTGCAGTGCTGAGAATCGAACCCAGTGCCTTACACATGCCAGGCAAGTGTACTACCTTTGAGCCATAGCCCCAGCCCCCAAGTTAATTTTTTTTGAGTTGAATGTTTATTATCTCATTACTTTTCAGCTTTTTTTTTTTGATAACATAAATTTGAAGGCTGTAAAATTTCCCTAAAGTACTGCTTCAGCCATATCCCCAAATTTGAAGAGTATAGACTTGGTTTACCATTATAAAACTCCAGTCCATACGATTTGCCACAAGAGTTTAGTAGTGAGAGCAAGAGAGAAATAATTTTGATGTAATCTTAAAGGAAGAAAATTAGAAGAATAAAAAGGAGCACATATAGGCTAGTCCCAACAACATAAAAATGAAACAAGCAAATAAAAGATATAGAAGAAAAATTGGAAGGATTTTTCCGGTTGACAAGATTCCAGGTAATTCATTTTCCTTTCTTTTGGTACTTGTACTTTCCAGATTTTCTGAAGTGAGCATACATGACTTTCTAAGAAGAAAAGCGGAAAAAAATAAATAAATAAGGGCAAGTTCACATATGCAAGACTATATGAATGAGTACATCCATTAGTGCTCTTCTTGAGACAATTGAAATTTCAAACCATTTATACAGACATACACAGTACCACACCATGTCATGACATGTCAACAGGAAAGGTTTGCCAACACAAGCCTTTGCTTTCGCAGCTTGCTTATCTAAATCCTTTACCTGATAAAAATAGATAATGGTGCCCTTCTTCCTTGTCATTTTCCTTCATTCTTTAAAGATTCCCAGGTTTTTTTATTTGGTGGGGGGCGGGAGGGGGTGATGCTGGAAATCAAACCCAGGGCCTTGCACATGCCAGGCAAGTACTGTAGCACTGAGCTACATCCCCAGCCATTTTTTAAGTTTTATATTTTGATACAGGGTCTGCTAAATTTTCTGGCTTGCCTAGAACTTGAGATCATCTTGCCGCCACCTCTTTAGTTGCTGGGGTTACAGGCCTGAACCACCAAGTCCAGCTTAAGGCTGTCATCTTAAACATACTTGGGGAAGTAGTTCACTTATAGAAACTTTGTAGTAGATTCTGTTTCAAAATGTTGACCTGTTTTTATGCAAATAAGATAAAGTGTATTATTAGAATCTTGGTAAATAGTTTGGATAAGTAATACACATGTAAAATTTTTTTTCAGATAGTACAAAAGTCTATAGTAGAAACTAAGCCTCCCTCTTCTGTTCTGTTTCCCTCCGAGAGACAGCAGTTGTACAATCTTTCCAGGGATCATCTGTACATGTGCAGTCATTCTGGCATGTCTGTGAAGAGTTGTGTGTGTATATGCAAGCACACATGCACACACTCATGTTTGTATTCCTCCATTTTTAAAACCACAAATGATAGCAAAATATTATTGCACTTTTCTTTTATCATTTTAACAATTTATAGAGATTATCCCATATTGATTCACATTTTTTCCTACATATAAATTCACCAGTTTTTTAACTGCTGTAGAAGCACAGTATTCCACAATATGTTGTGGTTTCAGGTTAGTTTTGTTTTTGTTTTTAGGATGAGGCCCAACTTTTGTACATAGGAAAGAAAAGCTGAGAGGATTCATGGGTAAAGCTTTGAAATCTGTGCTCTAGTTCTTATTTCACTTCTAAGTATGAACAGTCTTAATTTAGTTGTATGACCTCTGTGAGCCTCAGCATCTCTGTCTCAAAGGATTTATAAGATACTTGTAGTTCTTACACTTTGTGAGTCAAAATCACTGTTAATGAAGGAAGCCCTTGCCAGCATTTACAAGGGTAAAGGCAGACAGTTGCTGAAAATCAGAGGAATATTATAACTAGTCTTATAAAATAGAAGTAAATTATGAAAACAATACATTCTTTTTTAAAAACAATTTTTGTTAGGTGTCGATGGACCTTATTTTATTCATTTATCTGTATGTGATGCTGAGAATCAAACCCAGTGCTTCAGGGGCTGGGGATGTGGCTCAAGTGGTAGGGTGCTCGCCTGGCATGCGTGCAGCCCAGGTTTGATCCTCAGCACCACATACAAACAAGGATGTTGTGTCCACCGAAAACTAAAAAATAAATATTTAAAAAAAATTTCTCTCTCTCTCTCTTAAAAAAATAAATAAATAAATAAAGCAGTGCTTCACACATCCTGGTAAATGATCAACCCAGCCCCAATATGTTCTTTTTTTTTTTTTTTTTTTTTTTAAAGAAAGAGTGAGAGGGAGAGAGAGAGAGAGAATTTTAATATTTATTTTTTAGTTCTCGGCGGACACA